TAGAGCAGTTGAAAGAATTGTACAGTGAACAACCATCTACCCACCTCCTAGGTTCTACAGTGGTTAATCGTTTGTTACATATGCTTTGTCATATATTTATTCATTCATCTCTCCACCCATCCATCTTGTTTTTTGATGCATTGCAAAGAAGCTGCAGAGTTCACTCTACCTTTAAACACTTAAATATGCCTATCAGTAACTAGAGTTCTATATTTTTAGCTTTTTTTTAGGTTAAATTTACGTACAATGATAAGCATGGATCTCAAGTGTACATTTGCTGAGTCTTGACAAATGCATACAGCCATGTAATCCACACCCCAAATAAAATATTTCCCATTTTTTTCATCGAAGTATAGTCAGTTTACAATGTTGTGTCAGTTTCTGGTGTGCAGCATAATGTTTTAGCTGTACATATACATACACATATTCCTAATAAAATATTAAAAGAACATTTTTGTGTGAACACTGTACATTGACTGTTTCACTTATCATCTAAACTTTGTTTTATGCGTTGAATTTAGTCAGGTAAAAAAATGAATAAATAAAATCTTAAAAAAAAAAAGAACATTTTCAACACTCCAGAAAATTTCCTTCCTCCAGAGGCCACCACTATTGTGATTATTTTTTCACCATTGATTAGGTTTTACCTGTTCTAGAATATCATACAAATAGAATCATGCAGTTTGTATTCTTTTGTAGAAGGTGTCTTTTAGCGTAACGTCTATTCTATATTATCTATTTTATATTGTGTATTAGTGATTTGTTTTTTCTTATTGTTTTGTACTATTGTTTTGTAGTATTGCATTGTGTGAATAAACCACAGTTTATCCATTTTCTTGCTGATGGAACCCACAGGTGTTTTAAATATTTTGTATTTGTTGCCAATGTTTTAGACCTGAGTTCAAATCCTGCCTTTGCTGCTTCCTATGTGTGACCATCAGCTGGTTACTTTACCTCTCTGAGGCTCTGTTTCCCTATCTGCATAATGGGACAAATTGTAGCTATTGCTTATTGAGTGCTTACTATGTACTTGCCTGGCACTGTTCTAAGTGTTTCACATGCATTAGCTCATTTAATCCTTACAATAATCCATGAGATGGGGTATATTACTACTCCCATTTCATCGATGAGGAAACTTGAGTACCCCACCTGGGTTGCTGGGATAATTCAATGAGATAGGGCATGTGAAAAACACAGGATGCTATTTGGTAATTAAAATGTAAAAGTAAACATTGGCTATTGTTTTTTTTTTTACCTTACTGGCCCTTGGAAGCATTTAAGTTTACTACCCAACTAGGGAAAGTATATAAATCCCTGGGAGTAGGGCTTCCAAATAAAATACAGGATGCCCAATTAAATTTGAATTTTAGAAAAACAATGAAAAAAATTAGTGTAAGTATGTTACATGCAATATTTGTATCACATATTTATACAAAAAAAATGTATTGTTTACCTGAAATTCGAATTTAACTGAGCATCCTATATTTTAATTTTCTAAATCTGGCAATCCTACCTGAGAGGGAGTGACAGAGGTGACTAGGGACGGAACTTGTGTACCTCATTTTGCAGATGACATAACAGTCTTAAAGAGGGAAAATGATGAGCCAAAAGTTGAGTCTTAAGTGGTTTCTTTAGATCCAGATCTGAGGCTCCCAGAAGACTCATCCAGTGTCTTCTCTCTATCAACCCACAGTTTTGCCACTTTTCAAGTCTTTCCCTGCCTCTGGCAGTTGCATGCAGACTGGCCCCAGGAAAAGGGGGATAGCAGCATGACTAGCAGCGTGACTGAGTGTTCTGCAGGGGAAGCCAGTAAGTGACAGGTGGCATGTGGGCTGCTGGGGTTTCTCTCCCCACTCATTCCAGCTCTGCATCCCTGCTTTCTTCTTTCCTTCTCTACCCAGAGGCCTGGGAAACTCCTTCCTTTGTTGGTGGTGGAAGGACTCCCCCAGGCTTCCTGCTCCTGCTCCAGCAGGCTAGGCCCTGTCCAGGCTGAGCTCACTGTCCAAGGCAGAAGGAGGTGTAGGTGGCTCATGGCTTTATTAGCCACCAGTCCTGCATTCTGACCGGGCCGAGACTAGACTGGCTTCTGGATCAGGGAACCTGGGAACCACAGCCACACAGCATGGGAGATGAGGAAATGCCAAGACTTGGATTCTCTGGCCTCACCAACTCACCTTCTCTTGGAGAACCACCAAGTACCTACATACCCTGGATTTCCTAGAATCTTTACAACATCCTCGGAGGTAGGATCTATTATTCTCACTTACAGATTTTGCCATTGACGTTCAGAATTCCCTAGGAACCCCTGCAGCAAGTTTTTGACAGTCAGTACTCAATTCTTGATGCCTGTGCCTCTGAAGAAGCCTGGATTATTAATTCTGCTAGGTTCTGCCTCCCAGATCAGAGCTAATCCACTCTGTTGGAATTAGCAAAAAGGTTAGGATAGCATAGTTGACCCAGCATAGTAGTTCTCAAAATGTGATCCCTGGGCATCAAGATCACCTGGAAACTTGTTAGAAATGCAAATTCTTGAGCCTAATTCCAGAACTTTCTAAGAAATTCTGGGGGTGTTACCTGGCAATCTGAGTTTTAATAAGCTCTCCAAGTGATTCTGATGCACTCTAATGTTTGAGAAGTTGGCATGTGATAGAAAGAGATGCATTTTTGGAATAAAATGAGTATACATTTAAAACTTTTTTTTTGTTTGTTTTAAGTAAACTTTTATTGATATATATAATATAAATACAGAAAAACACACAAATCATAAATATGCAGCTTGATGAATTTTCACAAAGTGAACATGTCTGTGTACCAGCACCCAGATCAAGACACAGAACATTTTTAGCAGCCCGAAGAAGCCCCTTTGTGTCTCCTTCCTGGTATTATCTCCCCTCGAAGGTAGTCACTATCATGACTTCAATCACTGTGCATTTAGTTTTGCCTAGCATATAGCTTAAAAATTGTAGATGAAGACAGAATCTGGAGCCAGAGGACTTTGGTTGGATTCTTGGTTCCTGGTTGAGTGATCTTGGACCAGTCATCTAATCTCCTTGAGACTCATTTCCTTCTCTGTATAATGTATAAAATCTTAAAGTCATACTATGTTCCCCAATCTTGCCTAGTGACAAGAGTCACCTAGAGCATAAGTAAAAAAACCCCACATTCCCCGTAGCATACATTATTTTGTGTGTGTGTGTGAGATTCAGTAGTACTTTGCCTTTATTCTTCTCACAGAAATTTTATTTTGAAATTGATTGACTTTATTTATTTTTTTGATTCTTGTCTTTTTAAAAAAACTTTATGTATTTATTTTACAATACCATATTTAAAATTGAAGTATAGTTGATGTTTAATATTATATGTTATAGGTATATAATATAGTGATTCACAATTTTTAAAGTTTATACTACAGTTATAGTTAATATAAATTATTGGCTATATTCCCCATGTTGTACAATACATCCTTGTAGCTTGTTTTATACCTGATAGTTTGTGCTTTTAATCCTCCACCTCCATCTTGCCCCTCCCCTATCCCTCTCCCCACTGGTAACCACAAGCTCCTTCCCTACATCTTTGAGTCTGTTTTTTCTGTTATATTCACTAGTTTGTTGTATTTTTTAGATTCCACATGTAAGTGATATCTT